AACGGAAGTCAAAGCCAATGGCTTCACCTCGTGTTGTCAGAGATGCCAACAAACACAAACCGAGATCCAGTCGGTCGAGTCCTCACACAGATGCAGGACAGACAGGCAGAGCTGGACTGACAGGAGAACTAACACAAACAGATACAAAGGGTTATGTTTATGCTTTGTTTTTTAACTTTTGTGCAGGATTTTCATGATGTGACATTTCACACATCTGTGCAAAAACTAAATTTGAATTAATCTAATCACACAGCCCTCCAGTGAGTGTCGGGGAAGGCGACCAGTCCTGGACACGCCACAGCAGTGACGCTGCTGCCATTAACCGAGACCTGCAGTTACACTAAGCATTTAACAGTATAATTATTATCCCCAGTGTGCAGCATCAATCTGACAGAGGTGTGACCGTGTCACCTTTAAAGTGCATTCCCAGGTGAAGCAAACCCCCTGACCTCTGCCCTCACACCATCCTAGTTACTACGCCACTTTCCATTTGGCACTGATCTCTTTGAAGATGAATAATGTGTTTAGCTCACAGCTGCTCTCGCCTGTGTGTGTGTGTGTGTGTGTGTGTGTGTGTGTGCGCAGCTACAAAGTCTCTTCTTCACTTCAGGGCAGGCTGAAGCACAGGTGTAGGTCCAGGTACTTTACACCACTCTGTCTACCGTGTTGAATCTCCAGTATAAACACAGCACTGACTGCTGGTGCTGGCGTCCTGTGCACGGGTCACACGCAGGTAGTTGCCTGTGTTACCAAAGACCAGAAGTGCTGCTGTGTATTCATTAATAGTAACTGTGTGTTGGAGTTTGTTGTGCGGTTGTGAAGTACTCCTAGCAACAACTGGTGTGTGTCTGTGTGCAAGAACAACTGTGGCTTCACACCTGTCTCCATCAGTCTGGGCACAGATGGGGTTTAAACTGCACACACAGCTTGGATGACAATGCTCAGCCTCTGTGCACAACACACACACAGACACACACATATGCAACATAACAACACAGTGTGCAGTCAGCGGGGCGAGAGCAGGTGGTACCCACAGTACATGCGTGTCTGCACAGGCGGTCTAAGCAGCTGCTCTCACATGTCTGCGTTCACGAAAACCTCTGCCGACTCCCCCAGCTCCAACACCCTCCTGAGGCGCAGAGGAACCCGAGAGCAGGATGTGCTAGAACAGCGCCGGGGAACAGCTCTCGGCCGCCGGCTGTCTCTCAGCTAAAGCAGCACAGACACGCCCACCATATCCTAAGAGCTGCCTAGCACACATCCACTGCATAAACACAGTTTATGGAACTACTTTAACAGTGTTGTCATCTGCAGCACGCGCCTCTGTGCCGTGGTCTCCACGTCAGCGACACAAGCCGACATGCTGTCTATTTACAACGTGGTAATCAGCCATTATTTCAACAGTAACTATCAAAAAATTCTTGGGTGCAAAGAGTTAAATGTGAAGCTGAGCTGCAGGGACAAGCCCTGCTGAGAGCCCGGCGCTCTGCCAACTATCTGACAAAGGCCTCACCTGGGCCAAGTCGCAGCACAACACACACGCCATCCCATCAGCTGCTCAGCAATCACTGGCTTTCACGTAGCCAAAAACTACTGGAAGGAAACATCTATAATAATCTCTCCTGTTGTCCTGATCCTGCACAAAGTAGAGGAAGAAGCCCTGCTCAAGGAGCCAACTCACCGGCAGCAGTGCTGGGTAATACAGCCCCATCATGGTCAGAGGAACAGCTGCTGACCAGCTCTCCTCTGTCCCGTCCCTCCTCCTCTCCCCTTCCCTCTGAGTCTCTGCTTCTCCTCCCGTTCGCCCTCGCCTCTGTCTGTGCTCTAGGACCATGAGCTGCCGATGGCTTCAGTCCACGTCTGCCTCGCACATTCAAATTCTCCCTCATTCGCCCCTCTTCCTCCTCCTTCCCTTCGCCGGTGTCCCTTCTTCCACTTCTCCAGCACGCACACTTCGTCTGCCCGTCACTCTCCGCCTCCCTGGCTCGGCTGCTCTGATCCCCCGGGGCCTTTCTGTCTCTCTCCTCCTGACAGCACAAGTCTCCTCTCTCCTCCTCTCTCTGCGTCTGTCATTCACATGCTCGCGCTACACGTCCTGCTTCCCCCCCGCTTCCTCTTGTTCCCACCCCTCTTTTAAAACTTTCCCTCCCTCTCAGCCTCGGTCCCTCCTATCCATCAGAGCATCCATCCATCTTAAACCTGTGTCTCACTGCAGTCAGAAAGCTGTTGTTGTCTCTTCAAACAGGAAACAAGAAGACGCCGTCTTCTATCAACACACCGGCTGCCTCAGAACACACAACACGAACGCAACCCCCACTGCATTGCAGCGTTTTTTTTTTTTTTTGTTGTTTTTTTTTGATTATTTATTTATCGCGTGGCAGCCAGTCAGCTAAATAAAAAAAACCAAGGGAAGGTAGGCCAGTCGGTAGACAGCTAGGTGCGTGGGCGGATCACCGTCTCTCTGCTGCAGCTGCCTTCATCACACAGCAAGAAGTGTCAGAAAACTGAGGAAGGACCAGCTCGACTCCAAAACCTGAACCTCAATCTGTATCACACTGCACTGCACCGTCTTCTTCCCGGGCTCACTTCCGCCACTGTATTGCTAGGAGGCGCCTAACTTGCAGTGATGAGAATGCAGTTCCTTGCACAGCATTTCACATGGGAGGGACTGAACTCTGCGGGAAAAAAGACCTGATGCCATGCTTTCAGACATCTGCTGAGTCTGGCTAGAACTGGGTCCAGAGGGATTGGGGGGGGCGAAAAGAAGGGAGCTGGGCTGGAGTGGGGGGGAATGTGAGTGGGAGATAACAGGATAAAGGCTGGGTGAAAAAAGAGCGAGGGATGACAGGATTAGGGATGTAAGTGAGGAGGATGAGAGGATGAATGGGGGGGATGATCCGAGGATTAAACACACAGACTGAACACAGAGATAAACTCACAAAGTTGCACACACACACACACATTCACATAATGTCCACACTGATATTCAGGCTGCTGCACCTTGGCTGACGCCTGGACTCGAACAACAGGCTGTAACCAGCCCACACTCAGCAACGGCCTGCTCCTCCAAACGCCACCTACAGAGAATCGATAGCTCAGGATCAGCTGGTCTACGGTGAAAATCCAGATCATCGCACAAAGAAACGCAAGCACTCGTGACGTGCACAGAAATGCTGCTATTGTTAAACAGTAGAGGCACCTGCTTGTATGCGTGTTTCATGTCATTATTCTATGACCTGAACAGCAGGAGACTGACATGCATGGTGCTACGGGTCAGGATGGTCACGCACACACCATCACACAGCAGCAGCAGAGACCAAGAGAGCCTGTCACCATTTAACACACTCGCAGTGAGACAGTCCCACAGGCGGCACTAACATAACAGGACACAGGAGCATTACAAGACAAATGGACTGCAGCAGTGAACAAGCCAGCCCAGCTGAGTCAGGCCTGGCTAGTGTGCTGGAGATGTGCGCTCAGGGCCGAATGCATCCGCAGGAGCGACTTGTAAGGTTCTTTATCCACCACTGGAACAGTCCTTTGTTGCAACCAGTCATCTATTTTCTTCCTTCGTCCACGTCCAGGGAGATTAGCTACGGCGCCACGGGCTGTGAACTTCCTGACAATGTCGGCACAGTGGACACAGGAACAGCCAGATCTCTGGAGACGGACCTGGAGCCTTGAGACTGTCCAGGCATTTCCACTACTGTGGTTCTCAACTCCTCAGCCAACTCTCTGCTCTTCTATCTTTTCTCCGTGCTCAGTGTGGTCCACGCCACATAAAGGCTGAGTCAGCGTGTCTCCATTTTAACTGGTTGCCAGTGGGATTTCTACGTTGCCAGCACCTGTTGGTTGCTACAGGTGAGTTTCATGACAAATTAAAGGAGCATCACAGGCTGGAAATACAACGAGTTCTGATGATTCTGAAGAGGTGTCAGTAATTCTGTCCCGTCCATGTTTGGAGTTCTGTGTCGACTGGATTTGGCTTTTTCTCTACTTTCTGTGCTGTTCCAGTGCCTCAGCCTCTTGCTCCTTTCTTTTTTGTTGCCAGGTCAACATACAAATCGAAACGATCCTGGACATGACGTAAGGGAAACTGAAACCTATATGAACTAAACTTAAATCGGAAGGAGATGCTCTCGTCCTCTCGCAGACAGAAAGGAGACATTGAGGGTGGAGCAGGAGCAGAGGAGGCGGCAGAGACAGCGATACTCAGGGGGTGCTGAGGCCTATGACGATCTCCCATGTTGTGATGTGGGGGGGGGCTGGGTCGAGCAGGCTCACAGACCAACACTCCCCTCCTGTGGCACTGCCAGAGAGCTACACATCCCACACAGACGTGCACACGCTGACAAAGGTGCTCACACACAACCTCTCCAATTCAGAGGCCTTTCTCATAAACACACATGTGCATACACATCCACACACGAGCTGCTCAACGTGCTCTGCTGCTCGGAGGCAGATAAGAAAAGAGTCAGCTGCACACATGAGGCGCTCATTACTGTAAGCAATGTGCATGGAGAGAGAGAGAGACAGGCACGGAGGCAAAGTGTGACAGGCTTGTGGAGCAAGCAGAGCTCCGCCTGGAGAAGGTGGATGGATAATGTCTCTCGACTCGTTGAGGGTCAGGCCTTTGAAAGAGGAGCTCAATCACTGCTGGCTCCTCTTTCATCAACCCTTCTAACAGCCATCATTTCTGAGCTGCCACTGAACGCCGTAGCAGTCTGGATAATGATGCTGGAGTGGAACAGAACCAGCAGGAGTAGATGGACAACAGCAGCAGCTTCACCTGGCCTAGAAGAATCAAGACAGGTTCATCCTGCTGTGTTTAAAACTGTGACCTTTATTCTGGATCTGGAGTCTGAGCAGCCTCTGGCCAAGTGGACCATCTCTTCAAAGTGTGGCTGAAAACCTGCACGTCTGACGTGACTCGAGGATTTTACATGACATTCTTTTTATTTATTGTTACAGAGGTTTGCAAGCAGTCACTAATCTCTTACCTGGCTGTGAGGTGGGTATCCATGGAAACCGGGGTTTAAAGGCTCATTGTTCTGCAGGAGACAAGAGGGGAGAGAGAGCGTGTGAGTGGACGGGCTTTTGAAACTGAGTGGATGCAACATGATGGTTTAAAACTTTTACATTTCAGGTAAAATGCACTCAGACAAACTCTTCAGCTACCTTTTTTTACTCCGTCTCACCAAATGTTTAAAACCTCTTTAACATCCAAACATCAACAGCAAATGTCCAGAGTGACATGTCGTAAGACAAAGCAGTGGATTAGGTGAACGCTCTGTGTGGGCGACTGGAGAACCGTCACTTACAGATTACCAAGATTTCATTTGCAGCTAACCAATCAGAATCCAGCAGCAGAGCGGGAGCCCCCTTTCCGCATCGACCCTGCCCCAGAAACCAGTGCTGTGGTTAATTGCTCTGTAATTACTTTTAATTAGATTATATCTGTCTCTCTCTCTCTCTCTCTTCACTCTGACTTTGTTCTACTTTGTATCATTTTGCCCCAGCAACAGCAGCCATTGTTTGCTGCAGAGCGAGGAGAGCTGAGAGACAAAGAACAGGAAGGAGCGGAATAGTGGGGAAAGTTAACTAAATGATGATATTTTGACAGCAGTGAGAGATGACACCGGCACAGCTCAGCCTGCTGGCAAGTCTTGCAGAGAAAACATGGTCGCCTGGTGAGACTCATGCCTCAGCTCTCCTTACAGGAGAGAAGGAAAAGGAGGAGGGGAGGGGGAGAGAGAAGGTCTGACAGGGTAAAGAAAAGAAAGATAACTGTGTATATATGTGTACATACAGCTGGGTGAAAGGCCAAACCACCACCCAGCGCCCAGCAGGGCCTCGTCAGGGCCGAGTCTCCAGAGAATGGTCAGGTCTCCTCTGTCTGAGGGAGGAAGCCTCCTCCTTCCAAACCAGATCCCGTCACTGTGTCCGACCCACTGTGTCGTTCACTGGTAGAAAATGAACCTCAGCTATTTAGAAGCAACAGTCACCGACATGTTCTGGTTCCACCTTCTTTAATGTGAGGAGCTGATGCTTTTCTTTGTCAGACATGAGAATCAGCTGAGTCTCTGTGGATCTGCTGGTTGGACACAATGAGACGTGTGGAGACGCCACCTTTGGCTCTGGAGAGTCACAGTGGGACTTTATCCCAGTGTCTGACATTCTGGGGATAAACAGATCAATCAGATCATCAGGACGATGATCAGCTGATTGATCAGTGGTCCTGCTGGTTGGGTCTCCACTCAGTCGGTCGGGAGGCTCCTGTCATTTGTCAAACATCTGTATGTGCTAGGAGATGGGGTCTTTTTAACTGCTGATGTTTTCATCACATGTGCACAAGTGATGTAAACCCATGAGCTACAGCCCCTCCGCCTGAATGTGCTCCTCCATTCAGCAAACAGCCTGAGCATGGGCCATGTAATGAGGAGGCCTGATCTGGCTTGTCAGCAGTGTCAACAGAGGGACCTGACTGTGGAGCCGCCTGCTGCAGGAATCACTTCCTGATCATCCAGCCAATCGAGGGCGAGCGTGTGAGACAGAGGGGCCGAGGTGACAGCAGCCTGACTCACAGTTTGTCTAAACATCCAGACAAAGGGCTTTTAAAGCTGCCCCTGAAGTGTTAGCTTCAAAGACGTGAGGTGAGGACTTGGAAATATGGAGGAGAGACTAAAAACAGCTGTGGTGAAAGGAAGAAGGGGAAGGAGCGTCTAGACAGAGTGGACCAGAGAGAGGCGGCGAGTGTGAAGTAAAGAAATGGAGCAGATGTAAAGAATACCTAGAAATGAGAAAGAAACATTTTTCTTTTGATGCTCAGGCAGAAAACTGCCCGTCTCTGTGTGCGCACTCGAGGCTCAAGTCTCAATCTTTTGATGCTCAGGCAGAAAACTGCCTGTTTCTGTGTGTGCACTCGAGGCTCAAGTCTCACACAGCCCTTTCTTTGTCTCCACTCTCCATTTCCTGTTTCATCTGGAACCAATTTCCCCCTCATGCCTCGTCCCCAGGGGGAACACTCTCCTTGGTGCGCCACATTTACAGGAGAATGGGCGGGTTTGTATTCAGCAGCATAGTGACTGTGTGGCAGCTGCTGGGGCGCAGAGTGCCCGGGCGAGGTCGACAGGGACGAGAAAACTCTGCCTAGTGGACATAAAAAGAAACCTGGTGGGAGTTACCAGCGGCACATTTCAAACAGGACTGAGCGATGCTGTGGTTTCAGCGCAAAACTGGAGCTTGTTCAGGGCCTGTGTTGTATCCACTCAGCGACGGTGGGCCATTTTGTCATATTACTCCAAAATGCATAAGGTTACAGGTGATTAAAACAGTGAGTGTAGGCGCCGCCCTGGCAACAACCAGGAGGAAAAACTGGAACGCCAGTGAAATCTGAACCTAAATTATCCCCAACCATCAAATTATAGAGTCACTGTTGGTTCTACAGTGGACGGAGAGGAAAGAAGGAAAAGAAAGAGGAGGAGGAGGCGTCTGAGAGCAGGGGGAGGGAGAGAGGGGAGGGTGTAGCAACATCTGGAATCAATCTGTCTGCAAAAGAGATGGGAGAGGGAGAGGGATAGAGGGATGGGGGAGGGCCGAGGAGAAAGAAAAGCAAGGAGATGAAAACGAGGGCAGAGACAGACACAGGAGGAGGAGGAGGAATGTGGGGAATAAGCCGACCACAGCCGAGAACAGGCAGAGAAAGAGAAAAGAGTTAAACGTTTGTGAAACGGAGACAATGAGTCATACACGAAGAATGCCATGTGATTTATATTTTCTTAAGGGGTGGGGGAAGGGACTGGGGGTCTGAACTCGATACCTAGTGTTCAACACGCACTTTCTTTCCCATATGGCACTGCTTTAACTCCATGACATGCCAGCGTGTCCCGAGCGGGACACTGACGGCACGCACGCTCTGGCCTGCTCGTTTTAAATAAACACGTGAAAATCTCAGGCCACACTCAGACGCAGGCCTTCGCCCTGCAGGTTCCCATTAAGTTAATTTCGTGTCGTTTGTGTGTGAGGAGGAGCCTCTGAAGGCGCAGAGGGCCTGACTGCGAGGGTTCAGACTGCACTGGTAGGGACCAGCAAAGGCACAGAAAACCAGTCACACACAGACAAACACGCCCTCTCTCTGCCCTGCCCCCCCCATCGGCCTCTGCGGAGGGCAAAAACTAAAGGGCGGCTCTCTTGTTTATTTTCTCTCTCTCTGACTCACTATTTTAGGAGAACGAAGAAGTTGGAGAGTTGCTGGAGCAAATGGGTAGGAGCGTAGGAGCGGGGGAAAGGAGTCGGCAGTGATGGAGGAAGGCAAAATGACATGAGGTCAACAGATGGCGGGGGGAGGTGGAGGGAAGAGAGGAGCAGGGCAATTAAGGGGGCTGCTGCAGGCAACCAGTGTTGCCTAACAGAAGAGCCTGGGGAGGAGGACTGTGCTAATGTAATGAAATCCCACCAACACATCATTACAGAAAAAACTAAATCACAATTCAGGGCCGGGTGACATTTTCTTGGAGACGCCGGCACGTGTGAGCACTGCCAGTCAACAAGCACGAACAGTGGCGGCCGCGGCAGCTAAAGACGCTCAGTGCTCAGATTTGAATCTCATTTTGGCTCGAGTTCCTGCAGACAACAATAAATCGATTACAATCAGGAACTGATTTGATATTTGCTCATACACATTCTCTAGCACTGACAAAGTCTAGTGTTTCACTTGGACAGAGGGTCTGATGCAGACCCAGGAGCCAGAGCCGTGGACACATTAGCCTCCTTTTCACAGCCTCACCCGTTTTGAAAAACTAAAACCAGCTCGAGAGGGTCAGCTCCAGATGTGAGACATGGAAAACCACCAAGAATGTGCAGCACAGATCTCAATCACGCACCAAATGTTATCTACTGAAAATCCTTAGCACTCACTGCCCCGGTATGTCGGCAACCCCAAAACACAATAAATCAGAAGGAGAAAGTGGAGATGAATGGGGTGCTGGGGGGATCAAACAGAGCCAGAGTATTATGCAGAAGGTGAGGGAGAAGGAATTAACAGAGAGGCCGGAGGGCAGAGGACAGGAAGTGATGGATGTGACTGTCAGCGAGCTCTGCTCCACAAGGTATATGACAGCCCACGACCAAGCTGAAAATCACAAGCAAAAGGCGGGCTTTTCGGATTTCCACAGAGCTGTCAGACCACAGCCTGCTGAGGCCTCTGTCGGACCAGCACCCAGACACGGTGGACGGCAGGAGATCAGGCTGCAGCTAGTTCAGTGAAGGCCTGGACGGGAGCTACCGACAGGCACGAGTCGCCTCCGACTGTCCGGTGTCGCGACGGCCTCCATGTCCATTGCTGTTTTGTGGTTCACTTGTTTACAGAACAGACTCAAAGTTTACAACCAGCCACACTGCTCCGTGCACAATGACACATGAAACCATCCAAGAAGATTCAGTGTCCAATCAACTCAGGTCATCCGTTTTTAGAGGACAGCACTAGACAAGATTTGTACATTCGATAAGACCAGGAGCACTGATCTCGCTCGTCGAGTCCAGAATGGATTCATTTGAACCTAGTTTTTGATGATTTAGTTACATCAGACAAACACCAGTGTTGTCTATAAGGCTTCTCGTCTACATTCAACAACTGACCAACAATGTTGTTTCCCCAAATACACAACTATGGAAACATTAGCAGCTAAACTGTAAACACATTTCCTGGTGATCAAACTGTTCACCGAGGACTAAAACATGATGCGTATATATTTAGGCCTACACATGCCAAACAGTTGAACTGATCAGGACAGAAAGTGATTCATCTGTTTGTGCTGACACCAGCCTGATGTCTGCAGACAGCTGCTGGCTGGCGTTAGCTCCCCACAGGGAATAAAGCAGAATCCACACTCTGTTCGCTCGACTTCCACGGCCTCGCGTCTCATATCCAGAGATAACAACTGTTGAACAAGGCCAACGGGGCCTCTGTCATTTACCACGACACAGCCTGAGCCAGCCACGTATCCTGTGTCCCTCTGCACAGATCTGGATGCATTACTGTTCACCTTCCTGG